AAAAATTGTCTGTATAAAATTTGTCATAGATGAACACCTGTGGAGGAGAGAGGAAGGAAATGCCAGATTAGACAAGAAAGAACATTAGATACCTTGCAGAATTCAAAACCATAGCCAGGGAACTCTGAGCAAGTCTAGGTCTGGTCTTTTCTATTCTCACTTGAGTCAGCATGTATATGCAGCTCGCCCAGAAGGGTATTTCCATGGTCATAGTTATTTTTTTTTATGTTTATTTTTATTTTTCTTATCATTTTTTTCAAGTAAGACACCACTGAAGGAGTTTTAACAGCACAGGCCCTCTACTGGTACCGCGTACAGAAAATCCTGCTTTGCACTTTTTGGTCAGCTCATCTCTTTCTTGTGTTATGAAAGTGGAGCTTAGTTTTTTTTTGTTTGTTTGTTTTGTTTTGCTTTTTCTTCTGGTCCTTTTTTCAGTCAGTCAGTCAGTCATCACTGTTTACGTGAGGAAGATGAAGTAAAGATAGATAAGACCTTTGGAATATATCTGAACTGATTCTGTTTTTTAGAGCTTATTCATAGACTTGACATTCTTTATAAGTTTGTGGATTTGCTTGCCAAAGTATGAGAAAGTTGATCTACAAAATTATTGAAAAGCACTTCTAACATTAATTCCTCCCTTCCCACTTTTTTTTTCTCAAAAGAGAACAAACCTAAGATCTCCCTATAACTCACATGTCCAGTTTTATATTCTGATTTAAGGATCAGCCTTCACAATCTATGTTTGGAGGATAAATTAAATTTAAATATATAGATTTATATCTCTGCATAATCATCTTAATGAGTTATTTTGGAAATCATAACATGTTTTTATCTTAGTGCAAAATACTTCCTCATCCATCAATCTAAGAAGCCAGTAGAGACAAAATTGTCAAATATTTATATCCTCATCCTCCACCCTGGTGCCAGGCACATGTGAGTGGGTGTTCAGCTTAGATTCTGTAGGGCAACAGTCATCATTTTACACCAAAGCAAGCATATATTTTACTTGCAAATATTCATACATATTACATAACAGTTAAAGAATCCAGGTTTCTTATTTTCTTTTGGCAGTACTGGGTTTTGAACTCAGGACCTCAAGCTTACTAAATAAATGCTCTACCTCTTAAGCCACAATCATGTCCCTTTTTGTTTTAAGGTTTTTGTTTGTTTTCATTTTTGCTTTTGTATTGTCAATCCTGGGGCTTGAACTCTGGACCTGGGCACTGTCACTGAGCTTCTTTTTGTTCAAGTTAGCACTCTACCTCTTGAGCCACAGCGCCATTTCCAGCCTTTTCTGTGTATGTGATACTGAGAAATCGAATCCAGGGCTTCATGCATGCAAAGCAAGCACTCTACCACTGAGCCACCTTCCCAGCCCTTGGTTATTTTTTAACTAATTTTTTTTTTTTTTTTTTTTTTGGTGCAGTCGTGGGGCCTGAACTCTGGGCCTGGGCACTGTCCCTCTGCTCTTCAGCTCAAGGCTAGCACTCTACCACTTGAGCCACAGCACCACTTCCGGCTTTTTTCTTTTTGCTTATGTGGTACCGAGGAATCGAACCCAGGGCCTCAGGCATGCAAGGCAAGCACTCTACCACTGAGCCACGTTCCCAGCCCTTTAACTAAAATTTTTGGTCTAAAACTATGACTCGACTATTTAAGTTGGTGTTGCCAGAATTTTAAGGTGTGTACCCAATTTGTGGTTGAGATGATATATCACTAATTTTTTTTTTTTTTTTTTTTTTGTCCAGGCTGGTCTTGAGCCATGATTCTGTAAATGTCTGCCTCCTGGGTAGCTGGGATGGCATACCTGAGCTACTACCTACAGCATAATCCCATACTTTTTAGCTACCTCATGCTCTGATTTCTTTCTTTCTTTTCTTTCTTTCTTTCTTTCTTTCTTTCTTTCTTTCTTTCTTTCTTTCTTTCTTTCTTTCTTTCTTTCTCTCTCTCTCTCTCTCTCTCTCTCTCTTTCTTTCTTTCTTTCTTTCTTTCTTTTCTTTCTTTTTTTGGTGCTCTGATTTCTGTTACATTAACAAAACTCATAAGAAGTGTGGACACACATTAGTTAGGATACTTTCGGTGTTTTTTATAAAAAAAGAAAAAACTTCACTTCTCTGTGTTCTCACACCTATAATTTTATCTACTCAAGTTTAGATCTGAGGACCACAGTTTGAAGCCAGCCTATGCAGGAAAGTCCATGAGACTCTTGTCTCCAATTAACTCTTGTCCCCCCCCAAAAAATCCCAAAACAAAAGACCAGCCAGAAGTGGAGCATAAATGATAGAGCACTAGATTTGAGCAAAAAAGCACAGGATTAGCACCTAGGCCCTGAGTTTAAGTCCCAGGACTGGCGCGTGTGCGCGAGCATGCACGCGCACACACACACACACACACACACACACACACACACACACACACTAACAGCAATAATAATGTGATTTCTTTAATGCCAGGAACTCTATAGCCAATAGGAGAACAATGTGAACTTTATTTAGTTTATGAGAATACTAATGGAATTACCCAGCATTTAAATAGGAACATTATATCACAGGTACATAGGCTTTTCTTTTTCTTTTTCTTTTTTTTACGAACTCAGGCTTTCCTAACAGCTCAATTGTGGATAGTTCCTGTAGCTGTTTAAAGCAAGGTGTCTTCTAATTGAAAACAGGCTAATCTAAGCACTACATTTAGTGCTTACTTTGTTCCAGGAGTGGAGAATAGAGTTTGAGACTAAGCTTTCAGGAATATAAAACTGATCAGATAAAGAAACCACATATTGCATAGACAAGCAGTTTGCATGGAGGTAATTAGGATCTTCACCTTGAAACCTAATATTGGAGTGCTGCAGGAAGGAAGAAGAGAGATAAAAGAGCTTCCAGTTTAAGGTCAGAAACCTCCATGTCTACCACAGTCTAGAACAGTGTGCAACTTCTAGGCTGTGCTAAAGTCACTTGTCTCTGCTGAGGAAAAGGGTTATAGGAAACTGTCCACCTTTGCCTCTAAGCAAGATTTTTTCCAGCCATTTCCTTGCAATGTTGTTTGCAAGGTCATTTAAACAGTAACAAACATTATGTGTTTAATAATAAACTGAATAAAAGAATAAACCTGGCACAAAAATATGTCATTTAAGAGCAAAGAAATAGTGCAAGAAAAGTATAATGCTGTTTGATAAATTTGTCTTAGCTTAAGTCTGAATGTTTCACCGTTTATTTCTGTTTTTGTTTTTTTTTTTACTGGTTCTTTTTATTAAGAAACAGCAGTCTAGGAATTGTTAGGCAGAGGCAGGCATGGCCCTTCTTACCTATTGTGATCATATTGTGCAGCATTAATAAGCCACGTAATATTCACCTATGCCCTGTTTAATATGAGTATACTGATTGGGTTCATTAGGAAATGAGTTTGAATATTAGAAGGTGATAAGGGGTTCAGAGGTTGTTTTTTTTTTTCCTTGTTTGTTTGTTTTAAATTGCTTGTGGGCTTTGCAAACCCAGTGCTTTCAAATAGATGGTACATGTGCCTAATTCCACAGGAAGTTAATATTCTCTTCAAAGTTTTATAATGAATACCTATGATATTTTAGTTTTATTTCTCATTAGTTTATAAGCTTCATATGCCTAGTATTTTGAATCAATAGTCATTGTCAAATTGAACTGCTTAAAGTTTGGCATTTGCTTTGAATAGACTTATCAGGAGAGAATAGGATACAGAGGATCTTGAGATAGTCTTAGAGATAGGATCTGTAGTTTAAAGCCTTCAGAATGTGTGTGATTTGATATTCAGATGCTTTATTGAATGATAGGCTATTTATTAGAATCCCATCAAGCTAACAATGAAAGAAGTACAAATAAAGTTCAAGCATTATTCTTATAATAGAATTTGTTTGCCTTCATGATGTAGCATAGATTGACGAATATAATTTCTCTAGACATCTTTCCAGCTTTAGCACATTTCCATGTTGTAGTTCATTCTCTTTCATTTTCTCTTCTCTCTTCCTTTGCTCCTGAATACATTTGTGAATATAGCCAAATTTTGTTGATTATGTTGTAGACAAATATAGCAAGATTTTCTGTGGGACTGGAATGGATTTTTCTTTAGTTAAATGGCTTTCTATCAAACATAGCAAAGTGATTCTCATCATGGAGATTTACTTTTGTTTTTTATTTTGAATGCTGTTTCTCCATACATTATATTATGAGGAAAAATCAGCCAATGAGGAGGAAGTAGCTCATATGGGTTGCTGTGCTTCCATAAGCTCTTCAAGTGAAGTCTCTGCAAACCTTAAGTTTAATATGGCATGTCACAGAAACACTATTTAAAGGATTGATACTTGCTGGGTGCCCATTGGCTTATACTTATAGTCCTAGCTACTTGGGAAGCTGAGAATGGGAAGGATCTGGTTTGAGGACAGTCTGGACAGGAAAATTCTAGAAATCTCTTCTGGACACAGGCAGTGGTGCATGCTTGTCATCTCAACCTACATGGGAGGCTGAGGATTGGGAGGCCCTTTGTTCCTGACCAGCCCCAGGGAAAAGTCTATGAGCCTTCATCCACACAGAGGGAAGCAGGACATGGAGGTATATGCCTGTGAAGCCAGCAATCCTGGGAAACCTAAAGCAGGCAGGTGTTGGTTCAGGCACATGACTGAGAAAGACACTAATCTCAAAATAACAAGGGTAAAGGGGAACAGGGCTAGAGGTGTGGCTCAGTGGTGCTAAGTTCAAACCCCAGTATGGCAAAATATGGCAAAACAACAAAAGACTGTGGTTAAGATAAAATCATATACAAAAAAAAAAAAAAAACCAACCTGGTAACTCTGGTGCCTTTAAGTTAAAAATAGCCACAAATATATCATCCAGACCTAGCACTTAACAAAGCCCCACTGCGTATAGATCTATGTTATGGGTGCGTTCCTGTGTTTCTTGTTACATACATTAATTCTCATATCTGTCTCAGCAGCAAACTACATTGCTTTACATGCCTTTTATTCCCTTGAATCACAGGAGCTTCAGTTTCAACGACTCACACGAGAACTGGAAGTGGAAAGGCAGATTGTTGCCAGTCAGCTAGAAAGATGTAGGCTTGGAGCAGAATCACCAAGCATCGCCAGCACCAGGTACGGGCCAGTGGCTCTTTCTTTACACATCTCAAGTTACATTTCTTATTATGTTGTCCTAGAAGTAGCACATGATTCTGTTAGCATTGTCCTGTTAACGTGCCTCCCAAGTTTGACAACAAAAAGGTCAATTTATTTTAATTTTGAGAAGCCTCTTACAATATTGATTATCCTTCAGTCTTGTGTCTAAAGAGTTTTATGTTTTATTGGTTAACTTCAATACCAAAAGAAGCTATATTGCCTACAGAAGTTTTACGTCTTGTATGGAGACACAGTTGATGGATATTTCACAGTTAATTACTAGCTGTTTGGTAAAGCTTGTTAACTAGTGCTATGAAATCTGGATGTGGATTTTTTTTTTAACTAAGGAGTATTTTTAAATGTCAGGTTTTAGTTGAGTTTTTCTAGAATATAATTACTGATTACTACATGAAAAATCAGGAATTTAAATATAGTAAATTGTATACAGTAATATATAAATAGTGTATGACTGAAAAACACACTTAATTAGGCCTCTGATTCTTCTTTAAAAGACCATTATAGGGATTACTATGGCATACTTAGTTAAATAGCTGATTATCTTATCTGTGGGTTTCTTTCTTAGTAATTACACATTTCTAGGAAGTGTATTGTGAAATTTCTGTTGCTTACATTTTTAAGCTTGGTTTGTTTGTACTTTAATAGATATAACCACGTAATTCTTATACTTCTCAGTGTGTTCTGTTACTCATAGGGAAAAAAAAAATCTAAAACTTTTTTTTTTTGCTGAATAGAATGCTGTCTTCAGTTTCTCTTTTCATGATGCTTGTTGGTATGAATTTTAAACCATCGCACTGCAAATTGTATTTCCCTGAATTTTTCATTTCTAGCTCTTGACAGTCATATAAATTGTTGACATTTGTGTATATTGCTGTGTTCATTAATGCATAAAGCATAGAAAAGTCAATAACTCCTTAAACCAAATAGAAAATTTTGTGATCACTTTGCTAGATCAATTTTCTAGATAGGCAGATTTTTATAGTTTAAAAAAGGGGAGGGCTGGGAATGTGCTTAGTGGTAGAGTGCTTGCCTAGTATGCATGAAGCCCTGGTTCGATTCCACAGTAGCACATATACAGAAAATGCCAGAAGTAGTGCTGTGGCTCAAGTGGTAGAGTGCTAGCCTTAAGCAAAAGAAGCTCAGGGACAGTGCCCAGGCCCTCAGTTCAAGCCCTAGGACTGACAAAAAGAAATAATAATAATAATAATCAAGGTATAAAATTATGAATTATAAGTTTCTAATTCTGTCAATGAAGTAAATTATCAAAGAAATGAAGGAAATTGGCAAAACAAGCATTAGTTTTAATTCTGTTCAGTTTTTTTTTTTTTTTTTACTTTATCTACAGCTTTAGCATTAACAAAGGAAATAATAATACGGTCTGATATATTTTCCCAACATATTTACCAATTGGTATGAAAAACTGTAATAATCTCTTAGTTGAAATGGTAATTTCAGTGGTAATCTTAGTAAACTGTAGTTGAAATGGTAATTGATCCACTTGGCTTGTCTTATTCCCATGGCATGCCAGATTCCCACATACTCTTAATGCTTCAACTAAATGTTAATCTTTCCTTATAGCCTTTTCCAAGTTCCTCAGAGAAAACTCTCTCTCTCTCTCTCTCTCTCTCTCTCTCTTTCTCTCTCTCTTTCTCTCTCTATCTCTGTCTCTCTCTCTCTCTCTCTCTCAATGAAAATCAGAATTGTTTCTCTGGGCCCACATCAGCTTATCAATTATGTGGTGAGGCCTTTCCTATTCCACATCCCTGTCACCCAGATAGATTGTCATTGAATGAATGATAAAGTTTGATGTAGGTTTGGAGATCATCAGATGTTGTTATGCCATTAGATAATCTATTTTGTATCTGCATTTCCTTGTCCTTGTTCTCATCACACCTTCAGGAGCTTTCCCATGGCCCCAAGAAGACTATGGAACAGTTGTTCATCTCAATGACTACTACATCTACACTCCAACAAGGAAATATTAGAAAACAGCATACCAGCAAACGGAGAGAAAATATTTTAACATGTGACTTGAGAGACACACCTCTCCTCTGTTTCTTGCAATTCCTCTAACTGTCCATTTTAGAGCCATAGTGTAAGGATATAAATTAAAAGTTGGGAAACAAAGGAGGAGGTACAATGTTTGATAAGAAATGTACTCATTATCTTGCCCATGTAATTGTAACCCCTCTGTACAGTATTTTCACAATAAAAAAAAAAGAAAAAATTAAAAGTTGGTTTTTACCACCTACATCCCCTTTCCTGTCAGCCATTTCTAATTAGTTCAAAAGAAGAATTGCTACTTATGAAGCTTCCTGCTGGATTTTGCTCATTCTTAATGTAGTGAGTTCACTCAGCAATGGAGAATTTTATAACTAGTTATTTTTCTTATTTTTTTTGGGGGGGGGGGTTCCAGTCGTGGGGCCTGAACTCTGGAACGGGCGTTGTCCCTCAGCTTCAGCTCAAGGCTAGGGCGCTGTCCCTCAGCTTCAGCTCAAGGCTAGCGCTCTACCACCTGAGCCACAGTGCCACTTCCGGCTTTTTTCTTTTTGCTTATGTGGTGCTGAGGAATCGAACCCAGGGCCTCAAGCATGCAAGGCAAGCACTCTACCACTGAGCCACCTTCCCAGCCCCACTAGTTATTTTTCATATTGTTTGGGGATCTGGAAGAATTTCAAAGGAAAAAGTAAAATGAGTGTTTTTGACTTTTCAAATGTCCAAAGTTTTTGCCATATTGTCTCCACCCTTTGAACAACAAGGCAATGGAAGAAGGATCTAGTTCATAAATGAGTCTTACATTATACCGAGTGGCTTTAATAATAAGCACTTTGGTTCTCTCACACTTTCAATTCACTTGCGGTGTGCCACAAAGTGAACTTACTTAGATTTTTCTACTAATAAATTTTTTAGAAGCAATTGTCTTCTAGTCACAAAACTTTATTTATGTGATTTTTTTCAATTGTTTTATTTTTCACAAACGTATTATCTAGCAATATTAATATAATATCCAAAGATGCTGTATTAGACCACCACTACAACCTTACATAGCCTTAAATGTGAGCTTATACATTTGTTCTGAATATATTCTTGCTATATGTGTGTTTTCATATTTCACTTTATCCCAAATTATTTGAAACATCTTTAAAAATATAAAAATTCAAAATAGAGTGGAAAAATTAAGGAAAGGGGAAGACTAAAACTTAAAAAAAATAAGATGAAGTCAAGTATAAAATAGTGCCCAAAAAAATGTGTTATGTCATATAGCCTTCATGTAAGAGAGAGAGCCACTTTGGCTCTGTTATCCTAGTAGGTATGCCAAAGACAAAAGCACTAATAAACTTACATGTCTATAAATTACATGTCTATAACATAAAACCAAACCAAGTTGTTCAGGAGGACTCTTCACAACCCCCCACACCCTACCTCCCTGCTCTCCCCTAGTAGGGCTGAGGCTTTAAGGGTTTTTCCTGTTTGATCCCATTAAAAGATGACAGATGAAGCAAGTAGCATCTTCATTGGTTTCTAGCCAATCAGTTACAAAAACAGGTTGACAGGGGTATTTCTGACATTAAATGGAATATAAATGGACAGAGTAGCACCTTAGCTAAAAGTAATTCTACAGAGGGCCAATTCCAACACTGAGCTTCACTCAGGATAATGCCTAGCAGCATGTGTCCCAGGATGGATCAATTTCAGGTCCACTAAGCAGGCAGCCTGCCATGACTATTTCTCTCTGCAGAGCCTTTGAGAGTCATGGAGGATGGCAGTGAGTGCTGATATGTGAAATGGTCTGTGTTGCAGTCTACTGGGCACATAGCGAATGTGCTTTAGTAACAGAAATGATCCCCAGGGAATGCTCTATTATGCAGTTTACCTCAGGAAAATCTCCCAAGGAGACACAAGGAGAAATGTGCCATCTAAACTTCCTGTTTCCCATATACTAGGCAGTTGCTAGCCTTCAAATCCAAATTTTGATGAACATGAGATTTGGTCTTTTACTTCCTCAGTATCATCAGTGGAAGACAGTTCTTTCACTCGTTGAGCTTAGATTTAAGGGGCTACAAGGATAGTAAAAATCTACCGGCTGCATTACTAACCTGCTTATGCGGCTGCTTCTGCCTCCTATGCACCCAATGTCATTGGAGCAGGGCGGGGGGGGGGGGGGGGGGGGCAAGGCCATATGCTTAGTCTGTTTTGTTTTTTTGTTTTTTGTTTTACTATAGTGTTAAGTAATGGTCATCTTAGACTTTTTGTAAAGTGGAAGAAGGAATAAAGAGATTTCTAACTCTCAGATGCCTACTGTACTTTCAAGCCAGGTTTATTGAAGCATAAATTACAATAAAATCCACTCATTTGTAACAGCACCTTTATGACTTTAACTGATACTTTGGTGTACAGTTTTGTGACTACCACCACATACAATGTAGATAACATTTCCATGACCTTCTAAATATGAAGCAACTGCTTTTTAACATTCATTGCATTTTTTTCTTGGCAACTACTTTTTCTTTAAGGTATTTCCCTGTTAGTAGCTTTTTATCTTGTGCCTAAACTTCCACTTTGACATATAGGCTTATTCCTTAAACAACCTCCAATGACTCCTACTTGCCAACAAAATTCCCAAGGAAGCAATTGCTGGAGGCCTACTGATGCAATTTGGCATCAGATAGAAATTGCTATAGCCTGCCAATGGCATGTACACTGCAGGTAGAAGACTTGGCCAGATAGGTGTAGCAAGGAGAACAGCCTTCTAGTGTACTAGGTATGGCCTGTGTTCATATTGCATTGAAGCAAAGAAATCAAGCTATTGGTTCATCTTGTTGGTAACAAAACCATGAAGGCTAGGAGAATATATCCAGAATGCAAGATTCAGTAAATATCAATATGTTCATCTTAAAATTTTTGAAAGCCGGCGTTGGTGGCTCACGCCTGTGATCCTAGATACTCAGGAGACTGAGATC